AATCAATACCATAATACAAACATATATAAATTTCAATACTGTAACAATATAGACAACGGGAATGAAATCCTAATAACAGGCTCTAAGAAACATACAAAACATAATAATAACAAAAATGAAATATAATGGGTGAAAATGTTTCTCATAATGTTGTTTTTAAATACAATAAAACCTCTCAAATGTGTCAATATATGCAGACAATGTTGATAATTGATATCATCTAGACACAGCTCGGGGTATTTGCGTACATTAGTTTGACGATTAAACCTAAAGCTACATTTAACATTAAGTGGAATTGAAAAAAATTGCGTAAGGTAACATGTAAGTTGATAACTCACGTTGACAGGACATGCTTTGTTTAAAAAATAAAACAAAAATATTTGATCACGCTCAATCATTTTGATAAAATTATTAATATTGAAACATTATTCATGCTTGCTGCGTACCATTAATAACCTCCTTTTAAAAACGTTGTAAAAAACATAATTGAATTGTGCCTTCCTAACTGTACTACTTATGTGCTCGGAGGAATATATAGAGCCAGAAAGACACCACAATCATCAACTGATTTGACCTGGGTTAATTAATTTTAAGGTTCCACTTTCAGTATCCACAAACAATCCTGTCCAGATGCAGAGATACAGATACAGAAATTGAATACTTTTTTAAAAATAGCTTTGAAACATCAGTAATGAAAATCGCATACTCGTATAATACAAGGAATTCATGGGTCACCGGTATTTTTAATAAGACATAATTAATACGTTTGTCAACGTTATTAACAATGAAACATTGGAAATGGAAATTGAGGGCGCTATCATAATTATGATCATTCATGACAACTAAATATTATACCTGTTATATCAGCTACATATAGGTCGATGTGCCTTACTAGGGGTAACCATAGAGACCACCATGTTGCTAGGGATTGATGCACGATCGAACTGACAAATAGCTTAACGTGGTTTTGTTTGTTGTCAAGGAATATTACAAAGATTTAACTCTTTATGAGTGCACATATTGCCAAGGTAACCAATACAATTGTGTCCATCAGAATATTGGCAAATTCTTGTAGTTATATTATTGGTTTCTGTAGGAAACTAGGTAATTATTAAAGTAATAATAAAGTATGTAAACGACCTGCTATGGTCGGGATTAAGTCTAACGCACATGTCATGGAAAATAAAGTGTCGTTTATATCTCCGCCAAGGAGGTTATGTTTTGCAGGCGTTTGTTTATTTGACTGCCAGCAGGATAACCCGAAAAGTTGAGGATAATTAAGTGGTTGCCCTTGAAACAATGTCTATTCCATTATTTACATTTTGGTAGAGATGTGGGACCAGGTTCCATGAAAACATAATTTCGCGATTAAAAAAAAAATTTAGACAAATTATGGATGAATTCTTCACCAAGAATTGCCACCCTTGACAGAAGAACCAAACAATTAGATTTTGTCAAAGATGTGTATATAGTTGCCATGGAAACGTTAAATTGGGAATGATTTGTTATTAATAACTCAAAAAAGGGGTTAGTTACTTTTGACATAAGATAATAGGAAAGATCTTTATCCAGTTGTCATGACAACAACAATTTTGGAAAAGATTCTTCATTTTATAACTCAAATAGTCATAGACCAATTGTCCTGACATTTTTAGGAGGGTTGCCCTTAAAGACAATATCCAGCATTTATAACACCATGAACAAACTTTGAGAAACAATTCATTCACTGACACATGGAGCTCCATACTACCCCCCCCCCCATCCAATAACTTAATGAAACACCGCTCTGTATACATTTGGCAGTGGGGAATATGTTTTATGATATTCTACATTAACAAATATTCGCACTATAACGTGCATTATACAGAAAATAGCAAAATATAAAATGAAACACAAACTCTAAAATGACGAATGGCTAGGCCACTTTAAAATCGCCTTCCATCGACCATTCAACATACACTTTTACAATTTATAACACACATAATGCAAAGTACACATATTCATTCAAAATTCGGATTAAGTATTTCAATGCATAATGTTATAGTTTGGGTGTATTTGAAGACTGAATTTTATTGTCACTGTTAAAATGTGAGCTTTGTTTATGTTTGAGCTTAACGCCATGGCCGGGGACAGGCAGAGACATTTGACATTTTGCTCTGTTTTTGGCGTAACTCACTGTTTCATGTGATATTTTCGCTTGTTACATATCTATGAACACATCACCTTGCACATACGTGTATAAAATATTGTGTTCTTTGGTGGGAAGTCAGTTGATATTGGTGAAGGGGGTTGTGCATGATATTATTATGCTGGACATTACCTTTATTTCATTGCCAGATAACTCAAACAGTTGAGGACGAATTTCCTAGATTCTAGGAGAAGCCTAGGACCCAGTTGCCATGGAGACAGTACATTTGTTTCCATTGCCAGATAGAGCTTATATATGAATATGATAATGAGTGTTTCATCATAAGAAGACGTAACAATACGATAAATCTAAGCGAGGATAAGTAATTTACATATTGTGCGGAGGTTTTCTCTCTCAGAGTAAGTTTTATTTTATTGGCGACTGGGAGGACAGACTATTCAGATTTGTCGCGATCGTGTATCTAGTACTGAAGTATTCCACTATCCAATATCACCATCGCATGAATATACACAAGTATGTCCTCAATGGCCCACACTAAACGTTATCAATCATAACCGTTAATGCCCCGGGTAATGGAGAAGTTTGATCTCCGACATTGACAAACAAAAATAAAAACATTTCAAACAAATTAGCATCACAATATTTATTTATCTAAATGCACTGTTATCCTACATGTGCATGCATAGAAAACCTTTCAGTACCCCCTCCCCCGCTTCTACGCTAAATCATCGCTGCGACCGGCAGGTTTCTCTGCATGTTTCTGGCAATGTTTGAAAAAGAAGTTCGCAACACTAATAAGTTGGCAAAAACAACACCCTATATTCATAAGAAGAATGGTATGAACCAAGTAAACACGGCGTTCATGTCGATATTATTCATTGTTATTTGTGAATTATTGATGTTAACCCCAGGCCAAGATGCAATGACGTCACCAATGTATTTATATTGTATGTTTTCCTAATAAAAACAGCTGTCTGTATATAAAAATAGAATGTTTCAGTAAGTGCGAGTGTAGAATTTGACCCGTTGAACTAATCACGAATTAAATTCATCTTTGAAAAAATAGCATAAGCATCCGAGTAAAGGGTTAAAACGTTTCCACGTTCCATGCTTGTATGATATATGAGATGATATCAACGTAACATTGTCGAAATGTGTACCCCTTGGGGTAGGGAGACAGACCTCATTCCATTTTGTTACAGTGATACGAGAAACACGTGCTTTAGAGCATTTTCAACACTCCAGGGGATGAATCATTGTCTTAGGGGTTAGATGTTATTGTATCCTGTCCATATCCCTCATTCCACGGTGTGAATAATATAGCATAAATAAGATTATCTTGGCCTGCTGAATTTTGAACAAGTTTGAGTCTTTGTTCGCAACATAGTGCCAACAATTTAAACGCAGACATTGGGAATCAAGCGTCTCAGAACTATAACTGCATACAGATCAT